TACTTTGTTATATGAATAAATTTTAATCAAGCAGAAAATTCCTTTATTTTTGTAACATGTCTTTTAGCATTTAGTAAAGCTAATATTGATACAAGCTAATAAATGCATACCTCACTGACTTGAAAAGATTGGGCGGGGGGAAGACTGGGGAAGAAATCTCTCACGTAGCCACACAGTCTCACCAAGAAGAGAAATATTTATGGGTTGTACCCATTTTGCAAAAGAGGCTTTAAATGAATTGGGAATAAAAATAAATTTTACCTGATTCCAAAGAATATTGTTCAACAAAATGTTTACTTTGTCTTTATTCTCAGTACTAAGTCTTGTGATCGATAATTTTCTCACCTTTCATTTCTATTAATGTACAGAATTTTATACTATGTACATTAATTTTATTTTTCCTACTCAATTTTCATGTCCCCCGATATCAAAAGGATGCCAAGATTATCGCCAAGTTTAAACTACTCGCATATAGTTGTGGCTGCTGTATCTCAGCGGGCCCACCAGCGGCCGAGCGGTAAAAGTCGTTGAACACTGGCAGTTCGGTCCGAGGTTCGAATCCCGCGAATGGCCTGGCTGCATGGGCGTTTTCGTGGTTTTCCCCATGTGTAACGTGCATACGAGCCAGTTTCCCTTAAAAAGTTCTCCACGAAGGCATCCCTCCCTTAAGGCAGATAACCCTCGAGTGCTATGCCGTAATCTAATAAACCAAACCAAACCTGTATCTCCGCGACTGGTTTTAGTATGGCACTAAAAGCTTATTTTTCCAGAGGATTTCCGCCACATGTTCTCTGAAAGAGACGACTTTAGAAGATGTTAACCCGTACCCCTTTCGGTACTCTTCTGTTATCGGGACTGGATTCAGATATCGCCAAAAGCTGAGGATCTGTCGAAAAATTTGGAGCATAAAAATAATTGCCAAAATATCTAAAAACGGTTTAGTAAAAGAAAAATTTAAGGGAAAAATTAGTTAACATATATCGTACAATTAGAAATTTTTAATGTAAATTTAAGCAACTTGCCAAAAAAATTAAAATAAAAAAAATCAGTTAGAAAATTTAATGAATTAAGATTAATGTAGAGGCATGAAACTGCAGGTATTATTTAAAATGTCTGAAAAGATATACGTTTTAGAACGCTGCTGCCGCCACATTTACTCAAAAAGGAATCTAATTGGTTACTTTCAGTGCCACGTCGAAGTCTGTTTTGCATTGTCCCATAACTCTTCAAAAGTATGAGTATGATAAATGTTATCGGGATCGATAAAACTATACTTATGGTTAACGCAGAAATGTTCAAATCCGGATCTTCATCTCTTCATTCTGGTGCTTCTTTCGAATTGAATTACAAATTAATTTTATGGTTTTTCGTGCACTCTCTTCCAAGGAGAACGATTCATCGTCCCTGAAGAAATTGCATCGAAGATGTAATTTTCAAATCCATGGTAAATACAAGAACAATAAAATCAAAAGTGACGGCCACAATCTTTAGAATTTGTATTCTCGTTGCGAATTTTGGAATACATTCTTTTACTTTTTTAAAATGTAAATATTGTAACAATTTTAAAAGTAAACATTGGCGATTCCATATAAGGCGAGTTTATCAGAACATTTGGCGATACTCCGGTCCAGATAACAGGACAATATCCCCTTTTTTGTTTCGCCGTTTAACCGATCCCAACAATCTTTCCACCCGTTGTTGGATCAGCAAAATTAAATTTGTGATTCACAGTTAAATGGCTGTAACCAGCCTCTTCAAGGTTTACAATTTGAATGTATTGCCAATCTTTCCGTTACACAGTCTACAATCGTTGATATCAGGGTGCATGTTTCGCAATTTGGACCCTGAACAAAAAGCGCTCACCACTTTCACGGTATAACTCGCCGTATATCCACTGGTGGAAGAAATCAACTCGCGAGAAGAAACTCTCGTTAATTTCTGCTTTATGTTTTAAGGCCCACATATTCATCTTTGAGGTTTTCGAAATAAATCTAGCGAAGAAACCTCTCTTATAAAATTGTTGCAGTCAATCATGATATTCTGACAGATGTTGAGCTGTTTATCGTACCATTTAAACGACGTTAGTTGCCCTGCCCAACAGTAAACGAAACGCAGGGCTGTTAAGAATGGTATTCTGGAACCAGTTGTGGGATGTAAATCCTCTTTTTTTTTTTTTTTTTTTTGTTTACAGCTTTTGACGTTGTACAGTTTACAGAGAATTTCATTTCGTGGACATTTACGCATAACCTATTGAAAAGTAATATATCTTTTTCTGGAAAAACGATGCGGCATCTACCCCCCTCCTCGGTAAGTAAAAATTGTCAAAAATTTTTTATAGTGTTTAAATTAAAAACAATGACTACAATAATATGCTGTTCCTCAAATTTGGTGATTAGAAGTCAAAAGTGAAATCACTGTTTTTTTCCATAAATATTTAAACTGATAAAAGACTATTATCATTTCGTGTGAGTTGCATAATTTGGCGGTTTAATACGGTTACCGCGAGAATCAAGTAGTATCGTTTCATTTGACCTTTATAATGCATTAGTTTATTATTTATCTGTTTACTTTTCGTTTAATTTACGTTTTAACACTTAGTTCTTAAATTTTTTTAATTTTAATTAATTATTATTATTCATTTTTGTTTACTTTTGCATATCGTTGCTCATTGCTGTCAACAAGATTTTCTGAGCAACATAAAAAAGAAAAAATTATCCGTACATCCTAGAAATTATTTTAAAAATTCCTACGTGAAGTTGCGAATGTAATATATATGATTTATGTTTACTACGACATCTCTCCAAGGATTGTTTCAGATTCTACCTGTAACAGTAAGAACCCTCACACAAACTTTCAGCATTAAAACAATTTCATCTTCCTCCACCAATTTTTTAGTGGACAATTTCTTTTTGTTATCAATAAAAAAAAAAAAAAAAAAAAAAAAAAAAGACTTACGAAAAATAAGGCAATTTTTCCTTTTTTTGATGGATTATTTCATCATTAGCATTTACTTTGTTCTTTCATTAGTTAAAGATTGGAAGTACTAGAATAACTTACATTGATGAGGTGACTGAGCTGATATTACTGTAGTATCCTGAGCTGACTAATGCTAATATCCTGAGTGCTACAATAACAGTTGCAGATCTTATTTTAATTTCTAACAGTTATTTAAATTTTTTAACATGCCTTACTGTCTATTCTAGTTTCCCACCGACTATTCCCTGCCACAAAAGGTTTTTAGTATTGCCTTACATGTTAATAGGGTAGATAGCAAAGAGGTAGAGATAAATAAATACTCTTCAACAGCAAATTGAAGAGTATTTAAAGGAAGGTTTCCCTTACTTCAGCAGAAGAGCTTAGGAGTCCTTAGTGGTGCGTTTTTGCCGTCAGGTTACCTTGTTAAGTTAACTACGCTCGGCCGTATTGAATGTACTTGCTAATTAATTTTGGGTCAATTACGTTAGATAATTTTGTACAGCTTCGGCTCAGTTTAATTTAGCATTCGATTAGTTTCTTGTATTCTTATCTTGAGTTAAAGCCCAAGTAGAGGCTTTCCTGTAAGTCTGGGAAAGGGACCATCTGAGTACTTAGTTTGAAATAATAAGTAGTGAGTTATTTGGATTTTTCCTTTACACACTTGAACTCGGCGATAAGTCGCTACATAGTTCAACAGGGTTTCTACAAGGTTAAGCAAAGTGGTTAGAAACATTACGCGGTGATCATGGGATATTTTATCTACCGCCTTTATTTATTTATCATTTCTTTTCAAGGGAAAGGAAAATGGGTTGCCAACATAGTAAGAAGTTAGCCAAGTGAATTCTTGGCGCAAACAGAAAAAATTTCGCCAAGATAAATTTTTTAATTTCTCCGTAAATTTCGCACCAAATTTTACAAAATTATATCTAGGTATAATTTGAGATGTATTATCGAAATGTGGAAAACAAGTGGTATGTTATTTCAGAAAAAGTCCGATTTTGTGTCAAAATACCTATGTTAGAACAATGCTATATATAAATCTAATATATATCCTAAGTCACAATTTCGGGGCATGAAAAACGCAATTTGAATTTTGTCCATCGGCCCAGTAGAACAGGAGTTATAGAACTGTCCCTCTTTTTTTTTTGGCAGTGTACATCTAGATAAGAGCCAGTGCACTTCGAAGCGATTTGTTAAAAACTCGAATGAGATTTTTTTTTATTTTATCTTATTTAATGAAATTGCATCATTTTGAATTATTTCATTCTTTTAGAAATGTGGTTTTGGCAGCAGTGTTTCATTCAATGCTTTGTATACTGGACTGCCGACTGTTGAAAATCAGCACGGTTGCCACTTGGAAAAATGAGGGTGATTATTCTGTGCAGTTTTTGAATTTAATGTTTCTCTTGGATACTATACGTTTGTCGAGAGAAAGCAACTGGAAGTTGGTTAATTTATTTATTAGGATAATTAATATTTGTATAAAGGGATATTGCTTATTTCATTGTAATTTTGTTATATGTAATAAATTTAAAAAAAATTCTTTTTTTGTTTTGTTTTTTGTTTTGGATGAAGTTGTTCTGCAGAGTATAATTCTGCGCAGTTTTTAAATTTAACGTTTGGTGTTCCCTTTAGGCACTTTTCCGGTACATTTAAAAGTCGGACGAAGGCTAGACGCTAGTATATATATAAAGATCTTCTCGTAATTGTAATAAATATGTTTTTGTGTTCATAAATGCAGTAAATATTACGCAACCTCATAAATGTACTAATCATTATATGGAGACAGAAGCTCTACCTGCCGACGATTACCCCACAAATTCATCACAATCCCGAACGGATACCTTCAAACAATAATATCTGAAATTTCCTTTCGATTGGCTGAGCGAATGTGGCGACTGGTTGAGGGAAAAGTGTTTCATATATCAGAAAAAATTTTAGAACCACCTCTTATAATACATATAAAACTTATATGTATAACTTAAAACATTACACATATTTTTAACAAAAATAATTAATATTACCTCCATATGCCACAGAAATAACATTTGTCGATGTTTTCCCACTGTAGAACATCACAGATAAGCAGTAATCTTGAGGTCGTTTTCGAAATGAGTCCATGTCTACATTCATTTCATTCAGGATACCATCCGTAAGCGAGGAAGTTTTAGAAGCTTTCTGAACTTCTACGTGTCCGATCTGTAAAGAAAAATTGTCCGGGAATCCATCGTTATCAAAATCGACTTCGCGGAGAATCCGATTGGCCTGTAAAATGATGATCAACATTTCCCTGAGAGCACCTTTCACATCATTTTCATGGTTGTTTACCAAGTAGCTAGCATCTGCTACAAGTTCAATAGTGCATGTAGAATTTCGGATGTGAAAACGAGGTCTTTGTTTGCTATGGAGAGAAAATAAAATTTGGTAGTTTTTCTTCTTTATAGGAATATTAATCTTTACATTAAAAAAAGTGACAGCACTTCACAATAATTGAAATTTTTTCAAAATCATGAAATCTGACCACTAAGTCTTCGATCAACTTTTTAATTTCTTCAGCGTATTTTTCAATGTTAAAATTGCAGTTTTGATGTTTTGTATGTATTTTGCTGGTTATTAGCATAATAAATTTTGTTTTGTATGGATTAGTGCTAGTGATGATTTCAAGTATTACTCTTTTTACTTCCTTGTACGAAGTCAAAAGGAAGTATTGTAATCGCGAAAAGTTTCAGGCAGTATATTTCAACGAAAATATCCATTTTGACCGCTATCGAATGCAATTTAACGATGTTTTTGCGTGATATCTGTGCGTAAGGACAGAATAAAAGACACCTTTCCTCCAAAAAAATTATAAAACTGCTTTAAAATGAATTCTGAAGAGAATGTTTCGTCGCGTCTGTACGAACGTATGTACGTACGTATCTCGCATAACTCAAAAACGAGTAGCCTCAGAACGTTAAAATCTTGTATATAGGACTGCTATAACATGTAGATGTGCACCTCGTATTTTGGTTGCAATCGGCAGCGCCAAACGTATATAAATATATTTGTATATATATATATCCAGTCTGTTACCCGGCTCAGTGATCTCAGTTTCTTTACTCTTATATGTTTGCAAATTGTCCATTTTTTGCTTTAAAAATGATTGAATTATGTTGTTTTTATCTTCCGGTTAAGGTTTTTATGCCTTTCGTAATTCTGGAAGCAATATTTGTACAATTATCAACAATTTAAAAGCTGTTTGAGTGCGGTTAAGTTTTAAATAACATGGCGGACATATTTGCTTACATTTGAAACAGCAGAATTGTAGATTTGTTGCCAATCTAGAGAGACTAAGCCTCGCAACACAAAAATAACGCCTTCATTTATTATTGCGAATTAAATCATGCTTAATCCTTTCTGGAATTTTTTTCGAGGAAATAAGTGTTTAAGATTTACTTTAATTTTTAATGCAGATATTTTGAGTTTATGTATTTTTGCCTTGTCGCGAAGTGAGAGCTAAATTAATTGAATGAGAAATACTAAATCGTCTGTGAAAAACTGTTTCTTTTCTGTTTTGTTTGCTTAATTTCTTTCATACATCGTTTTAGCTTTATTATAGTATTTGAATAGAACATGTGACAACGATAATTCTTCAAATGATATAAATTTTGTGCATTCAGAGTGTCGTTATAGTAAACAAATATAGTGAATTTTAAAGAGTGCATTTATTCTATTGTGGTTTATGCGCTGTCGACAAAGTAGATTTTATTCAATCCAATCAATTTAAATGAAATTCAAGAAAAAATGCGTATAATTTAATATTTCGTACAAGGAAGTCATGTGGTGTACACATCAGATTTTTCAATTCTAATTTGATATTATGTAACTTAGAAATGAAATCTGTAAGAGATGGTAAATCATTGAGCCAAGTTTCATCATTTAAATTTGCACATTCTTGATATTTATCATTTTTGATAATTTATAAATTTGCACGTTTTTCATCGACTTTGAGAAAATGTTTTATTTCATTTAATAAATCACGAAACTGCTTCAGAACTTTACTTCTCCTCGGGACACCTTACATCGGTACGCAATAAAAATTCTGACTGCCCTTCATCAAATCGCAACTGGAAGAGATGTCGTTTGCAACACCTTTCTCGAATGGAATTAATAATTTTGATTGCTAGGTCCATTATTTCTTTTGTATTTAATCTTTTACTGCCTAAATTTCTGTTGGTGAATTATGCCGTGGTAGCTAAAAAAAAGGTTATGAAGTTACCATCAATTTGGCATAAATTTATTAGTCCATTTATGCAGCTCTTTATCATATTACTACTGAAACTAATTTAAAAAGTTGCCATTTCAAATTATTGAAGAAGTGTATAAGTAATTATTGAGGAAGTATTATAAGACTTTCATCAAGGATTTTGCTCATATGAGCCACTGGAAGCAAACACGGCATTCGGAAGCAGGTGGCAAAATAGAAATCTCCGCAGATGCATTGGATTTTATGGTTGGAGCAGTGTTTATGTAAGATGGACAGCCGGTTGCATATTTTAGCAAGACACTTAGCCCGACTCAAAGAAATTATGCCACTACTGTGAGAGAACTTTAGCAGTCATTTTGGTGGTACCAAAATTTCGAGTGTATTTTGGAAAGTTCATGTGAATAAAAACCACGCAGCCGTCATTCGTTTGTATTCCGGGAAGAATTTATCATCCAGAATCACACGATGGGCCCTTAAATTGCAATAATATAATAAAAATATAATTTAATATTTAAACATACTGCCGGGGAAGCAAATATTGACGAAAATGTTAATAAACTAGATAATGAGGGGAACGAAGTGAAATGTGCAATACTAACGTAAAATTTAGATTCTCGAGAAACAGTTACTTCAGAACTACTCAAAAAGCTGGAATTTAAAAATATTTACTCATATTTGAAGGATCCCGACCACCATGATATGAAGGGTATTAAAAACAGAGCTGCACATTATGAAATAATTGACAATATTTTGGTTTACTCGCAACAAATAAAGTCAAAAATAATAATACTGAATCAAGTCAACGTGAAATACCCAAAGTCAACGCTGAAAAGATAAAGCTGTATTATGAGCCAGCTGAAATGCCACTACTTGGAGATGTTTTGGGGGAATCATCAAGTGTGAACGGCGGAGGGCCATCTAAAAATGCGGCGGACACACAGTCAATATCCGGAATACAAAGTCCGCAAAGAAAAAGGGCCGAGAATGGTGTGTGTGCATGGGGAGAGACTAAGTTCGAAGAGTTTAAAAAAATGCAAGGCTACCTATAACGGGCGTCTAAAAAGACAGAAAAGGAACTTATTCAATGAAAAGAAAGTTTTGTATAAACGCAAAGACTGCAAATGCTTTATGAACTAAGAGTTACAATTGAACGAAAGAGTAAAAAATACAGTCTGATTCCTTAAAATTTATTTAAAAAAAATTATTATTTTTTGTATTAGAGAATTTTTTACTTGCCTTGGAAAACTTTTATAAACTACTAAATCAGTGAATGTGAAATGGGTTTACACTCCTAACTCCTAAATTAAAATTTCATAATCTCTGTAGGGCCCACCAGCGGCCGAGCGGTAAAGACGCTGAACACTGGTAGTTCGGTCTGAGACTCGAATCCCGCGAACGGGCTGGCTGCATGGGCGTTTTCGTGGTTTTCCCCATGTGTAACGTGTATACGAGCCAGTTTCCCCTAGAAAGTCCTCCACGAAAGGCATCCCTCCCTTTAGGCAGATAGCCCTCGTGTGCTTTGCCATAACTGAATAATCCCATAATCCCATAATCTCTGTAACATTAAATTTCTCGGTCACAGGTATTATTTCAAATGTAATTCAGGATTGAAAGTTTCAGTGTAAAAATGCAATCTTACAAATGCAAATCTTACAAATGCAATCTTATTGTTCTTTTATAAAGCATTAAAGGCCACAACAGATAACCGAATTTATTTCATGCAGTTTCTGATAACCTCTTACATTGTTAAGGAAATCTGTTTCTAAACAATTAACAGTCTTATTACGTAACAAGGAGACCAATACTGTTAGAAATCTAACCTCAACAATTCACTTCGAATAAAGCTTTAGTTCGTTTCTGGAGTGAACTGCTTTCAGAAAGTGATTTAAGTTTGCTAATTTAAAGCTTTATAGAAAAGCGATTTCATAATTGAAAACTACTGTTAGGTGGTGTGAGTGAGCTGCAAAACGGCGATTGCAGTACATAATGCGTGGACTGACGCGTAAAATATTTTTCACGTTTTCTATCTTGATACCAACTGCGATTGTGGTCTTTGCATTTAACTATCATGGATTGCAGGCAAGTTGCATGGTTGTATTCTTTATTGTGACAATTATTTTTGTATTATTTTGTGCAAATGATAGAAGTAATGAAATTATTGCGTACTATTTGAAACCAAATGAAAAAATATATTCTGATGTAAAAAGTAACATTATGATTAAACTAAGAAGATATATTGAACCTTTTGACTTTTGGATTGGATGCGACGTAAATAGTCAAGAAAGATGTATCTCTCTTGAAACTTCTACTGTTAATAAAAGTGCAGACTGTTCTGAGAAAATACTTTTGGTGAACGAAAGGAAAATCGACGAGAGTGAAAAACTAATTGATTTACTTTATGATGATGCAAATGATAGTAGTACAAGAAACTTTAGTAGAGAAGCATTTGACAGGCGATACCCGGAGCATCCAGTTTCAGATGAAGATAAATGTATTCAATGTATGAATCCATTCGCGCATGTCGATATAAGCATGAGCAGCGTCAACATTAGAAATATGAACGGACTGGATGACATTAATTTAATAGATCTATGGACAGAATATGCTGAAGCTGACTTCTCTGCAAACAGTCAAATTCCTCCAAAGGACAAGAACGAATGTTTTGAAGAAAGCGCATTTACAGATTAAAGAAGATACCAGACGTGAAATCTGCAATGAAGTACCGGACTTTGATGAAAAAGTTACCTATGGAGGAGAACTGGAAAATTCATATCCTGGATCTGGCTATATTGAATCAGAAGAAGTGGCCGTTGTAGATGCTGAAAACTGTGAATTGCATATTAATCAATGCATAGAAAATGAAACCTTTGGTAAGACCGATGATATTCTCCGTGTAAGCGCGTTAGGCAATGAAAATATAGAAAGAAAATTAAAAGAGAACGTAGAACAAAATAAGACGGATCTTTCTGACGGTGCTTCCCTGCAGCAACCTAATTCTGACCTATTGCCAACAGGACATGAAGGAAATCTTGCAAATGATTTTCGCACTCATTATGTTAACCCTCGCGTCAGGAAACGTATTGCCATTCGAAAAGCAATAGACGGGCATGTATTCCAACTACTCTCTGTATATATCATTGGCATCTGTACTGGATATTGCATTGGAACCTTGTTAAAGAAATGAGATGACTTTCAAACTGCCTTTGCCAGGTTTATGAAATGTGAATCACCATTAAACTCAACAACACGAAAAACTTAAAATTCAAAATGTATATTGAAAAAATATTTTCTTCTCATAAAATGCATACTGAAGAGCCATTTTAATATTTTAATGTAGTACCCTCAAATATAAATGCTGTTCTCTGATAAGTTCCATTCTAATTTTAGTCTTGTAAATCACGTTAAGCTGTTCAATCAAAATGAATTATTTTTCAAAATTTAGAAGGAGCTCTGAATAAACACATATATTAAGATTAGATGGAGAATGTTTTTCACTTTTTTGTTTCTCTTTTTCCTACTGTAGAACATAAGATTTCATGAACCTCGGGTAATGTTTTAAATACCAATTTAAAAATAAATACGTTGCTTTGAAGAAAACGAATTTCAAACGTTCTCGGGTAATGTTGTAAAAAACACTCTTGTACATTACTACATGTCGAGAAGAAAACAAAATTATCATCTACCTATATGAAGTATCGGACTTTTGCTGAATACCTGTTTCTTGCTTTCCATGGGATGGACGCAGTGAAGAAATATTAAATAAGTTTAATTACAATTTCCAGGTGTGTTGTTTTTAATAAAAGTTTTAAAATATACATTTAATTGTAGGGTTACTATCTGTGTAAATCTAAGTTAAAATTATTTAAAACTGCATAGATCTTAAGCGAGTTTTCGCTCATTCTGGGAAAGAACTCCTTAGATGGATTTAAATAACACTTTTTTTAAAGGCTGGATTTAACAAATTGCGAAGCTTCTGGCTACAAATTTAAAACGCCGCCACTTGCACGATTTAAACAAAAGAAATATAAATGGATTCATGGTTTGAGACTCCAGTATAACATTAACAAAAGTAATGCAAATATGCGTAATTTATTAGTCCAAAGGGACTTGAGTCCCGAAGGACTATTAGTTTCGTTTTGGTATTTTGCGTCGGACTCATAAATGTCGGTTCACTTTTCAAACTGTTGCCACAAAATGTTAGAGTCCTGCATTATATTTGAAGAAATTAAATAATGAAAAATCTGCATCAATGTATGTATACTTCTCGTATTGTGATAAAACAACGGTACATAGAGTCATCGAATTTTGAATAACGTAATCCTCCAACGAATATGAGCATGTGGAAGACCAAATTTGAAATTTGAAATTTGTTTTATGTTCGATTTCCTATTTTTTAATACTTTGACGAATTTTTGATTAAGAACTCAAGGATTTCAAAGCGAGTAATGGCAAAGTTGTGCAGAAAAAACATTTTTATCTTCAGCGCGTGAGTCTCTGTATCGGAAATTCTAAAGATATGCTCGTTTTAAAACTATTTTGCGATATTGCTGTTGCACTGGATCTTATGGTTTAAGTGCGAGGAACATGATATTTAATAAAGAAAGGTAACACACAAAATGTTAAAAAACGCCCCTTTGGACGTAATTTAAAATCTGAAACATTTCAGATTTTTTTTTTAATGTTATGTATTTATTTATTTATTTATTTGTTTTAAGTGGCGCCAAATTTTTCTAACTATTTACAGATGTTCGACTAATGCAACATGGTGGGTTTTAACAAAGGAAAAAAAAAGGATTTTTTAGGAACCAGATGAACTTACTAAGAGAAGAAGATTTTAAGAACTTAAATCCTCAGTTGAAGTAAAGTGAAAAACACTCTTGTACATTACTACATGTCGAGAAGAAAACAAAATTATCATCTACCTAT